TAGAAAATTCTCATAATCTTATTTTGACATGGTACAATTTGAATACTCGTTTAAACAGTTTAATTGAACAATTGCATTCGATCGATTTATCCAGTATATCATACGCATATTTTTTGAGCTATTGTTCGACTTGTGGCCAGCTTGTGGCTGAATTGACAATTTTTACATATTTTCTTGTAGTAGATATTCTCCACATATTTCTCTGTCGATCTAGGCAGGAACCAAGTTTTTACGATGAATGGAGAATGGATAGGAAGTCTTTTATAATAGCCCCGTGCTTAAAAAAACAACATTTTTTAAAGTAATTAATTTTTTTCTCAGCTAAATAACGTAAGTAAGCTGAGAAAACTTCAGGACATATGCGGTACTTGGATACGATAGATGTACACATCAGTCGATTCGTTTTGATATAACAATTAAAATATAAATAATTTCAAGATTAGTGAATGCGTACCCCCCCAAAAATTTAAAAGAACAGTGACAAGGTAATTATTTAAAATAAAGTTTACACTATCTCGGACAAAAAACTTTCGTTACACCCCCCGCGCATAAAACTCGGACTGAATGGCGTTGTCCTGATAGCAGTTGTACAAGTTCAATATCACTATATTCACTATGATGACCCGTTAATTAATTTTCCTGATTAGTCGACACTTTATAGTGTCGGCGGCTCACATACATCTTTCATATCTCCGCCCAAAATGTTGTCGACGAGTCAGAGAAAAAATTGATATGTCAAAAACTGATAACGTAACATTTTCGGAGAATTTGTGTGTACTTCTACGGAATATCCGTAAGTTTATATAGGTTAGTGAGATTCTTTTTTTAAGCATTCTAAACGGCTCTAAACTGTAGTTGTTTATATATTATTAATTATTAGTGTTGTTCTTTTTTACAAAGTTTATTAAATAAATTTAAAAGCCAAATAATTTAGCCTATGCGTGCATTTGAGGGACGAATCAAGAAAAGAATTTATGAGGACGAATTGAGAAATCAGTTAGGAACGAATCGAGAGGACACCATAGACAACAACAATGTTAATGGAACAAGTTCAACTGATCTATTAGAATAATAGATCAATAAAATAACTTAATAATAATATAAAAAAACTTGATTATATCGACGACGTTGTTTCTTAATAAATGGTATAAGGATTATGGTATAGGGTAGTTTGCGAGATAATTCATATAAGAAGAAGGAACAACAACTGGTAAGTAATATGGATTAATTGAATTACAACAACAACAAATCAAACTTCTGCTCCATGAAAACGTTGAACGTGGCATATGAATAATAAAATGACACTTTCTGCATTCTCTGAATGCACTCAAAACCTCTTCACTCTACGAGTGACCTTGAACCTAGACAACCCCCCATTTTTTTTTATTAGCTATATTTCTTGTATCTTCACCTTACACCGATATTTGGTAAAGGATATTCTATCTATCTATCTATTTCTCAAAACAAAAAACGATAACAAATTATGATACTAAAATGAGAGTGTTAACAAAAAGACATGAAATGGTCTACTTTTTTTCGCATAAATTTTCCAAGAGGTATTTTCCGTTGTCAAAAATAATTGTATCATCAACTGTAATTGTTTTAACATCAACAAATACATTAATATGAAACTGAGTCTCTTTTTTTTTAATCGTAGCTGCTTTAGAAACATTATGCTTCTTACCAAGTGATATATGCATGCCTATAATTAAAAAATATCATGATATTATTAAAATATGATCATGATATTTCATACACAATCATACCATGTTGTCGTTCGAATGCAAATATATCTTGGACAATGGCGTGTTTTCCCATACCTAAAAACAGTCAAGAAGATTATAAATAATAATACGCAGTTAAATCATGCATTAATTTACCCTCATTTAATCCTAATCCAAATTTTCTAACGCAAATATCACCTTCACCATCTTTAATGAGTGTTAATAATTTATTAAATGTTTCGGTACAATTTTGTGGCTCATTATTAGTCGGATTAAATTCTAATTGACCATTTTTTATTGTTAATTTGATCGGTTGAGGTGGAACTTCTACAGTATTTTCTAATGATGGATAAGACCATATGGTTAGATTACCATTCATTTTTAACAAATCTTTGGCTTCAGTAAACACTTCACCAACTAAAATAAAATACACAAAATAATTATTTAGAGAAAAATATTATCTATAATCAAATAAACGGAAGATGACATAGGATGAGAATAAAATTATTTTACTTGGATAAGTTCCACCCACATCCGACATTCCCTCATAATCTCCAATATTCAGTTTACATTCGTTCATTCCTCCTTCATAATAACATTCACTTCCGTCCATACAAACAACTTGAATATGTTGACATTGATCAACAATCGATTTTAGTCCGTATGCTAAATCATGATATTTCACCGGGCTAAATACTAGACTTTCTACATAATTTTCATATTCGTCTAATTTAATAATATCTAAATGAACATGTTCAATAATTTTTATTTTACGTTTAAATAATTCCAATCGAATATGATAGTCATTGAAACGAAATTGTTGAGATTGAATGAGTACAACACAATCGTTTGCTTTCAATTCATTTAGTTTAGTTAATATTTGATCCGTAGAAAATTTGGTAAAATTCATTAGTTCGATCAATTTACGGGAACTAAACATGTCTGAATATGCTGCTGTAATAATTTGATTTAACAGAACAAGTTCATCATATAAAATAAATAAATGTTCACTATCTTGGAGTTTAATTGAATCATCTAATATATTACGCACAGACGATTTTACTCGCTCAACTAATACAAACGCATGAGGTGCAAACGGCTTCTTTGGACTATAGTTTGTTGTTACTGTCGCGTCGTTCCCATTCGATTCAAGCGATAAATGATCGATATTTGTTGATACTGTCGTTGCCGCTGGATCACTCCTGAAAATAAAAAATGATGAAGAATATGTATTTATTAGCACAGTTTTGATGGTTTCTTACATTTCTTTCTTGAAAAATACAGTTGGATTTTAATATTTCAATTACAAATCAAGTATCTGAAAATAAATGATTGAGTTCAAGAAAGACCTATGAAGAAAAACAAACGACTTCTGCACATAAAAA